AGGTGATTAACAAGATGTCTCCTGAATACGATTACAGTGGGGGAATTCACAACATGCGTCGGCAAAGAATTCCGTTGGTGAATGACTCTCTGTGAGAAAAGGATGAACGATGATTTGCGTAGCACAGTTCCTTTTTAAGCTGGTAGTCGTGTCGTCTGAGATTAGAATTGGGTGCCATTTCAAAAAAGCGTTTCCCAGTCGACATCCAGATCAATTCCTCTTAGCAACTGAAACGTTGTTACGAGGTCACCTTTGTCCTGCCTGTAGTGGAGGGGGTAGGGGTTCAAGCCCGCCAGACGCAGCTTGTACGTAAAATTTCTGAGGTAATGAACAGCCTTTGTAGCTCGTCGTCGTACATCTTCAAGGATATCTATATCCTTCCGAAGCCACGGCCACCAAGCCTGTACCGCATATTCCAAGTGCGGCCGCACAAAGGCCCCATATACCTTGCCAGAGACATCTGCGTTTAAGTCAATAAATGTTCTTCGTATCGCGCTCATGACTGATGTTGCCCGCGCTGCGACTTTATAACACTGCGTGGTGACGCTTGGATCGTCCTTAGCAAATACGCCGATATCTTTTTGTGCATCTACGGTTTAAAGTGGTTGATCTTCCAGGAGATACTGTCGTGAGGGTGCATTTGTTCTTCGCCTTGCTGATACTATGTGCATTACTACACATTTTTGACGTTGAATTTCATGCACCATTTCTTGCTCCATGTGTGCAAATTCTCTACGTCCCCTCGTAGTATCTTGACGTCTTTATCATCTTTTATCACTCTCCAAAGTTTAGGATCGTCTGCAAAGAGCGTTGTGTCCGATTTGACTTCCAGTGCTCGATCATTTAGAAAGATAGTGAATAGGAACGAGCTATGAACTGACCCATATGGGACTCCGTTTTTAACAGGTGCTCATTCTGAGCAGTAGCTACCCGTAGTGACTTTTTGTCTACGATCGTTTAAGAAATCCTGAATCCAGTTCAGGAGATTCCCTTTTATCCCTACTCCTGACATCTTTTGAACGAGGCGCTTATGTGGAACGCAATCAAACGCCTTGCCGAAGTCAAAATAAATGGCATCTGCTGGATGTCCTTCATCCATGGCCTTTGACCAATGTTCGAGCTGCGTAAGCAGGTTTGTGAGGCAGAACCTCTTTTCACCGATGCCATGTTGAACTGGACTGATGTGACAGCGAAACGTATCGACCGATGTAATTGATTTTTTGGTTATCTTTTCCATCAGTTTGCAGCAAATGTATGTCAGACTCACCGGCCAGTAGCTGGTGGGATATAACCGTGATCCTCCCTTGTGGATAGGTACGACGTTTGCCAACTTCCATTTGTCAGGAAGTTTGCCAGCTTCCAGCGATTTTTGGAATATTATACAAAGTGTTTCTGCCAATTCTCCAAATAACTGACGTAGGAGTACACCTGGAATCTCATCTGATCCAGGTGACTTGGCCGGATACAGCATATTTAATTCTGAAAAAACTAGCTGCGGTGTAAATAACACTGTGTTTATAAGTGGTTGTTTGTCGAACTGTGGCAGAGAACAGAGGTGGAGGGGTGATTCCGTGGTATAGACACTTTAGAAAAACTCTGATAGAAGCTCGGCTTTTTGAAAGCCATCGCTCACAATTGGGTTATTTCCGTCCTTTAAGGTTGCGAGATGGCCCCGAGTTTTCGCGTTGTTCTTGATGTATACATAACATGCTTTAGGTTTTTGCTGGGTAGCTTCAGTTCACAAGAAACACGCACTTCACGGATGAGTATTTCGCATAAGTTTCGTTGTTGTCCAAATTCTTGACGTTTTTCTGGGCTCCCCGTTTGTAAGAAGACTTTCCACAACTTGCGTTTTTTTCTGATTCACTTCTTAAGCGATGTTGTCAGCCACTTCGGTTTGTTTCCCGTCGGATGTTTCTTGAGAGGACAGTATCGGTCAATCAAGTCTCTCATAGTTGATTCGAAAGTTGTCCAGCCTTCGTCGACATCTCGTAATACTTCCATCCAGAGTATGTGTCTAATCTCCGATTTCATAGGCACAAAGTTACCCTGCCAGACATTTGTGAACGACTTTGAGCTTCGTGCGGAGCAGCTACGAGTGTCGACTCCCAACATTAATGTCATGTGATCACAAGAACCTAGGGGTGGGCCTACATTTACTTTATCAACGCTTTCCTCATTCTTGATGAACAGTAGGCCTAGGCAACTAGCTCCCTGACCTTCACGCATCCGAGTAACTGTTCTTACGTGTTGAACCAAGAATTAATCAGGCGCCATGTCTAATAGCACTTGGTCGAATCCTTGTCTGTGGCCCTTGATTGTCATAAGATTTCAGTTAATCCGCTGAGCACTGAAACCCCCTACAGTAATAACGTTTTGCTTTCCACCGTCCTCGCGGATTCGAGTGATTAACGCTTGATCTTCAGCGGTAACTTGATTTGTAGGCCTATATGCAACGCTGAAAGTAACATTTTCGGCTTTAGGAACTGAAAAATGACATTTGCATACACTTCAACAGGGTTATATTCGACTGCGTTGCTGATAACTCCGCCGCCTCTCTTTCCGGTTCGGTCTCACCTTAGCATTTGGTAACCACCTAACTGCACTTGGTAGTCAGTGACATCTGGGGTGAGCCACGTTTCAGTTAATGCAATAACGTCAGGACGTATTTCGGTCACAATTATTTTGATTTTGTTCGAGAGACTTTGTACATTTCCGTAAAAGAATTTAATTTTACGCGGATTTTTGCGTCCAATTATTTGCCCGACCATGAGGCTTTTGTCAGTATGACAGGCATCCTCCACAGGAGGGGTTTTGTTGTCGAACAATTACTCTGTTCGTTGTCACTATTCCCTTCTCTCTTTGTTCTTTTAAGGTCTCCAGCCCCGCCTTCAGCTCCCTTCAGTTCATTCTGTCTTGTACTGAGTAATCCAGTCAAAAAATACCTCTGTGACTGGGGACTCCCCCTACTGTTCGTCCCAGTAGAAGATCCCTCTCGAGTTTACTTTCTAAAACTATCTTTAAAAGCCTTGATTTCATCCCTTGAGAGCTCAGACTATCTTTACTGCTTAGTCGGAAGTTTCAGAATCTCAATGGCTTGATTTTCTTTTATTATGTTGCCCAGACACACTTGCAAGATCATGATATATCATCATTTATTCTACATCTGGGGTTATCGTTAGTTTATTCACGAAGTCCATGGACGACTATACATTGTGATTTGTCCACAGGACGTCCGTCCGGCGAGTTTTGCTGGATGATCGGCCTGCCCAATGTTGAGTCTTCCCCAATTTGAGCTTCAACGCTATTTGCATGAAGATTCGTGAGGGTATGTACTTCCACTCCCACTCTGGGTTCACTTTTATTCGGTCTTGTTTTGGTCGACGCTCCCCCCACATTAGGCTGAGGTGCGCATACTGTCTGGGGACTGTTTTCCTCTTTCGTCGGCCCATCTTTATCATTTCATGCTTGGCCCTCGGTTTCCTTTCTGGCGAGTCTGACACCTTCTCCTTTGGATTTTTGCGACGTTTCTCCACAGTCTTTCCTGTCGCCTGTTCCACATTCTTTACTGATTTTAGAGGCTTCACGTCACCACTGATAACTGGGGTCTAGAACTCCTTATGTAGGGTGTCTCGCGCTCTTCTCCTTGTTATCTTGTGCGTAGATGCTGTCAACTTATCCTCCGTCATGAAGGTCTGCGGGATGACATTCTTCATGGTTTTAACTTCTTCCTTTGGTTGATTTAACTTGGAGGCTAGCGCTTGACAACCGCTGCAACAGGTTCCCACATACGTCGGGCATAGCCAATTTGTAAGGCTTAGAGCGCCCGCCCAGGCGTGCGGCGGTAGCGCGGGGGTCTGCGTGGCGATCTTGTGCCCGTGGGGTTCCAGGTTTGACCCCACAGTGCGGGACACTTCGTACTACGGAATTCGCCATTTTGCGCTACTGTAGTATATCCAACAGGAAGAAGAAACTTTCAGGTGATATTTTTGCCTTATATGCGAGACGGAAAGCCTTTGATGTCGTTCTGGTAGTTGAAAGTGACAGTATAAATTGAATATCTTCGTCTTAAAGAGGATCCTGGAGAAAATACAAAATGCAGCTGTCTAGTTCGAGGACTTAATCAAGTACGTTCAAAATATGATGCATTCAACGAATAAGACTAGCGGAGTAACTCAGCGTATGTGAGAGTTGTTCCAGACGTTTCGATGGAAAGATAATTCGAATTTCTTGGCTCACAAACAGCAGGAATTAAGAATGGCTTAAGTCCGCGTCCTGTGAATCAGCCTTTGTCCCCAAAGAATCGTGACTTCCGAGTAGATATTTCCGGAAATCAGATAAAGTGCAATCCACGCGTGAAGTATTTTAGACCGACGCGCTCTCAACACCAAGGTAGAGACGGAAACATTTTAGTTCGGCAGACTTAAATTTCGAACCCCGTTTCAAACGGCGCGCTGTAGTTAGCCATTTTTGTGCCAGACCCTTATCTGATTCTGTCCCTGATGAAAGATCCGAGTGAAAATCCGAAATGTCGAGCTAATAAAGCTGCTGTTCCAGCGATCGCGTCTCCTTCTTCGCGACTCTGACGGTTACTCACAATCGGTATCTCACACAACATAACACAATAATCTCGAAAAATGGTGCCTTGAGTGCCTCTCGACATGATTTTGCGCTACGCCAACGCCGAAAGCAGTCCAACTCCCAGAGCAGAAACGGTTTGAGTCGCCCATTTACAAAGTACTAAAGAGAGTTGAGCGGCTCGGTCGAAAAGTCATCGCCGCGTCAATGGACTATCGGAGGCATATTAAATTCGGACGTTTCGAAATAACCTCATACAACTGCCAGTGTTATAAAAATATGGCCAATCTGTCGATAAAAGAATTTCGAGCAAACAGAAATCACAATGCAGAAACGTTGAAAGGATAACATTAAGAAGGGGAGCATTTGACAGGTTTCCAAAAATACACTGTACAGTGAAGAGGCAGAAAATAAATTGTGATCTATCTACGATAACGGAACCGTTTAAAATGAAACCACAACTGGAAAATCGTATTGTGAAACTGGCAACGGAATCCGTGTTTATAGGAGTACTCCCACTCGCGATTGACAATCTTGAAGGCAATATCCTCGTAGGGTGGCCCAGCAACAAAGCGCAGGACGGCAAAGTCCGGTTCATCTGCACACGGTGTAAGAGTGTATGTGGGCGCCTTGGTTTTGTCTATCAAGTCGGGATAAAATATATTGAACTTGTAACCCTGGACGATCTTGGGTGGTGGGTTGTCCAGGTCGTAATGAGTCTGGTTGTATTTGTTCCAGACAAAGCCCGTGTGCACGCGGTTGAAGAAGCGCGGTTTTCTTGGACGATATTTATCTGACCACAGGAAGGATTGATCCTCAAGAGGAACCTGAAGATTGCGAAAGGATGGAAAATTATGATTTGAGATAAACATGCACCCGTCATCATTACCGTCAGCCACACAAAGCCTCTGGTCACTGATTCTGATGTCTGCGTCTTAGATACACCAACCATTGTTGGTCTCATCAATTGACATTGGCGAGCTCCGAAAGGACTGTTTTGCACCGTAAATAATAAAAAACAGCTATGGATGCAAACTATTTCTAGCTAACTATGGGGCCACTTCGCATCGAGTCAGACAAATTCCGCGCTTAAGAACTGTTCAGTGGTCAGATAACGGAAAATGATGTGCTGCCTCAGATACATTATGCAGCTGTAAAAAAATTACGCGATGTATGCCGACAACAAGGCTGGGATTCAAAAAGATAACAGGGGAAAGGTAGCTGGAAGCTCACCTGAAGGCTGAATTCAGAGTCACCTTCCTCGATGCCTGCACGTGCACGTTTCAGCATCTCCTCTTCGGCACTGCGTCGCAAGGCACCAGTGTGACGGACATCCTGGCGCTGTAAGGAAAGAGGTCTGTTGTGAAATCTGTGCAAAGTCAGAGATGTCAAACCAGAGGCCGCTTTTCGGACAGGTTTGCAAATGTTTAGGAGCATGCGTGGACAGACACTTAGAAGACTACTTCAGTTATCCAGACTAGATTCTACTGACTCGTTTGAACTCTTTAAGAATGATCGACCTAAAAAAGTAGGTGAGACCTCTGTGTCGAACGGCCTGTTAGGAGGGGCTTCGGATAAGAGACAGCTTTCTGGCCACCACATTCACTCGTTATTCGAGCCGACCAGTACAAAGACAAAAGCTCGGGTCAGCATCAGGGACCCGACAAATAGTTGCCCCCAGTTGGAGCCGCTCCTCATCAAGACAGCCATGGAAGAGAGACTTCGAAGGAAGTGAAAACAGGCGCGGTGAACGCTTGCCGATAACTTTGAGAAGTTTTTTTTTTGTTGCCATAAGTCCTGACCTAAACATGTGAATCTTCAGTGCCGTGTAAAAATATGTGCCTACTTAGTAGCGCAGTAGGGGTCCTCTTTCGTCTAATTAAGTTCTCAGCCTGATTACCTGCCTTTGTTCACTTACGGCGAGTTTGAATGGGAGAAATACGCGAAAGAATCAGTCAAACGGCATGTTTACATATCTGACCAATTACACAAGCTGGTGTTTCGTGTGTAAGCCTAACCGCGAGTTATGTTGCACATTTAAGGGTGACGGAAGGCAAAGCCAAATTAACTGTCAATAGCAGATGTGGTCATGGTATTGGGAAGGAAGTACCGACTAAGGAGGTAGCCAGATTACGTGATCTGTTAGCACCATTCAAAACAACGGTGCTCTGAAGCTGCGTGTACGAGTCGAAAGAAGTCCCCTTATGTGTACTCAATATCCATACGTGTGACGGTATTCGGCATGACTTGTAAAGTTAGAAGCGTGTCAAAAGTCTATCGAACCGCAAATGATTGTCCTCTACTGCAGTCAGTCGGTGGAAGACTCCCACGAAAAGTTGGGCTGGTTGGTACGTCGCCCCCCCCCCCCCCAGACCCCACAGCCATCGACGTACAGCAGATAAGCCTTTAGACCGTTCACATACGTCTTTAATTGATCATCCCGCCGTTGTTACCAATCAGGGTTGAGTTCGGCAGGATGGCATTCCGGAAGACTTCGCATTCAAGTTCAGCGCGACACATGACTGAGTGACCTCAATCCTGACCGGCTATATCGTTTGAGACTCGGTGGGTGAGATGAATTTGGAGAAGCGGGGGGGGGCAAACATGAGAATCGAATACCTTCGGTGGATGTATACCTTCTGCGCACATTCTTATCCTACAGAATGTTGGTTTTGAACAAAGTCTTGTGAACATGCAGTTTGATTTGTGGCTGCGTAGGGAAGCTCCGACCATGTTCGTGTTGCATGCTTAGTTTTTCTATAGCATGTTCATTTCAACATTGGAAGTCCGAGTCCGTGTAAAATTCAGGGCTAATTCGGGTGCGAACGATGGTATGACGAAAAAACGTGAACTGCCAGGAATTCAGAAATAAACTATCGGGATGTGGTGAGAGGGGGGAGAATAAAACCCTTCTGAAGTGGGTGCTGGAAAGTCACAATACCCGAATGAATTAGGAAGACCACTTGCGCTGCTACATAGTTATTTGAAAAACCTAGTCAGAACTCAATGTAGTACAAATAATGTGGGACAGTAGTGAACTGCTTTCTTATCAAAAGCTTGCCTCTAAAATCTTAGCGGGTGGCTACCATGCGGCATCAAGTAAAATATGATCGTAATGGGCTTATAGTCTGAACAGAGATTAGGTAGACGGGTGTCTCACTGATACAGCGAATAAATGGCATAAAAACACGCAACCATGTACTGCACACTGTCGTAGGCATCGACGGTGTAGTAGTCAAGAATATTGGAATGCCATTCTGTAATTCCGCCTTTTAACGTAGGTCTAGGCCACGTTGATAACTAATTAACTCAGATAAAATATATAAGATGCTGGTTCCTTTGAAGTCGCCAGTTTTTAATGGCTCAGGCTAGCTTCTAACCAGCATCCGGGATACATGCTAAGTGTAAGGATCAGAATCAATGCCGATCTGTCCGTGAGGACAAGACTGACTTAGGAGAGGGTGAGTAGAGAAAAGAAAAGGGAAGGATGACGCGAGCGGAAAGACCGGAAACAGCACTACTACTACTACTACTACCACCACTACTACTACTACTACTACTGCTGCTGCTGCTGCTACTACTACTACTACTACTGCTACTACTACTACTACTACTACTACTACTACTACTACTACTACTACTATTACTACTACTACTACTACTACTACTACTACTACTACTACTACTATTGCTACTACGGCCTAGGTTACCAAACATAACCACAAAGAAACTTCAGGGCATATAACCTCTCACCTGATACTCGAGCTTCGCAACGTCATCATGCGCATCATAAATGACCGCGTCTATTTCAATATCTGCCTGTTCCAGCAATTTGGGTGAGTAGAGAGCTGAATCATAGGGATCGGCGACAATGACTTCTGGTTCGGCAGAGGGAGCCGCTGACCCCTCAACCGCGGAACTGGAGGACACTGAAGGCTCCGGTTCGGTTGGCCGTTTAAACATATTACTGTCGTCCTCGTCAACAGCCTTGGCGTCAGACATCTGTTGTTCAGCCTTCTCGCGCACGGTGGACTCCAGCTCGAGGATGCGCTCCACCATCTGATCGGCAGTGCTGTTGCTGTCACCACCGCCACCACCACTGTAGCTGCCACTGGGGAAGATAGGCTCTGAGGTGATGCCCTGGACCTGTTGCAGGTAAGCCAGCTTGCGTCTAAGATTCTCCTGGTGACGTTCACGCAGTCTAGTGCGAGCCATCTGTGCCGCCACGAATTGGGAAAGGGTTTCCCAGTAGGCAACGTCCACACCCTCACCACCCTTCAGTTTAGGCTGTATCTAATGTGGCAGAGTCGAATAACGGATAAAATGAAGTTGTACTGAAATGCTGTCAGTACTACTTCGTAAAAAGCACAGGCAAGTCTTTTCTGCCAAGCAGGCGAGCAGAACAGACGCGTGTCAAGGCACACTTATACTTAGGCCTCCTATCTGGGCGCATTGACGACTGATTTTTCGCAGTAGTTTTTATTAACCTTCCCAACACAATAGGTGACTGATTAAACCCAGTCTTAGTAAAATGATATCAAATCACCCATATTTTGTCGATTTTCCATGCGAAGCACGGTAGTTCTAGTGAATTTACATTAAACGGGCTCCTTACCGGTGAAAGGAATCTGCTACTAGTCAGGACGGATCACATCCAAAAGAAGTACTAGAAGGAGATGTGCCTATGAATAGTGTTCATAGAGTTGAAGTAGTGCTTTAGACAAAGAGTCGGCAGGGCGACTGGGAGGTGAAACAGACCGAGGTGCATTACATGTAATCGTGAAAAAGAGAGGACGACAGTATTACATGATGGTATGCCAAGTTGGAAGGGACTACTGTGAAGGCGTTCAAGCTTGTGACATGTTAGCTCGATATTTAAGTGTTTTATGCGAATGTAAAGCACTTTCAAATACACTACTTGTCATGATGCTGCATGTCTGTCAAGGTTCCCGCCATGTCAGTGTACCAATATCCCGGGCTTGAGTGTGCTATTCGCAGTTTACGTGCCAACACCGAGGGAAAATAAAGTGTCACGTGCCGGTGGACGTATTACATCGTGCAGTCTGTAAAATTACATTTGACAACGCCACAAAGCCCAACGAAGGGACGCAGATTTGAGTAAAGTCAGTCAAAGAATGTACGCTCTATCGAGAGGGGAATCGAAAGCTGGATCAACATCAATGTACAACAGCATATCACAAACTGTGTGCTGCAGAACAAATCGAGAACTTTAGTATTTTTTGAAGACTCCTTTGAAATTTAAAACAGCGCAAATCACGTTGAGAACTTTTCGGTCGCCCGCGTTTGATGCCCAACCGTTGCACAATCACCCTTCCTGAAGACAGTGGCAAAATCTTAATGCAAAATAGCAGTTTTCTCATTGCCTTATTCATGATCTTTTGAGTGTAAGTATAATATGTCGCATTCGCTGCAGTCATTAGTTCCACAAACTCCTCATTTTTAGCCTTTGAGCGGAGAAACGTTTTCCAAGAGCCAACAAGGAAGCAAAAACGACAATAAAGGAAAACAGAGGAGAAACTGGATTAGGCTAAGGTTAGCTCACGAGTGAATGACGCGGAGAATTAAATAGGATGTGGGTTGATTTCACTGATAACGAGGCTTGCGCCAATACTGATCGGTTAGTTCAAAGAGATTTCCAAGCGATATAGAAGCTTCCAATAGGCTTACACCTCAGCTGAAATCAAAATCCAGAATTTTAAGATAAGCCGAAAGACTGTGCTGAGGAAGTCCGATGTACCACATAAAGATAGCTTGAAAAGCCCGCGGATATTTAATTCTAGCCCAGGAAGGATTAAAATAGTAGGTCAAAAGATTGCGCAAACTTTCGCAAGGGACCGCACACAGATGCTGAAAGCTCTTATCCTTTATCGTTGGAGATTATCATTAAATAGGCGAACTTAAAAAAGATGAAAACGACCAAGGACGAAACATGGTTAAATGACTGCGTGTAAACTACTCAAGCGCGTTTTTAAATAGCTTGCTATCGTAACAGACGCATCCATCACATTAGTCGGCTGAGCAAAAATATACCTACACCAGTCTCCTTGTTACGTTGATTGCCTACATAAAAACAGCGCGACTAAGTAGTTGTCGAATGTAAATACTTGCTGTTGTTTGTAACTTTAGTTAGTGCGCCTCGAAAATCTGGTCAATTGTGGTGAGGGTTACAAAGCCTTGACACATTGAGCTGCGACAACTCTACAGTTTTGACAACTGTCGTTTCTGAGGAGCCCAGCGTTTCATTACAGAACTCAACTACTAGTCAGACAGGCCTCTTGTCGCAGACGCCAGCTAACGCCACTGTGTTGCATGGCATGTATAAGAGTTTCATTGGCACTGCGTCGTGTTTATTCGGAGGCGAATTTTTTTCATTTCCCTGCTCCGCACCTTGAGCATCTACCGCCGAGGGACTAGATCCCGACAGGGCAGCATGTATAGCCGTAACCCGTGATGCCGTACGCTACTTTTCACGCCATATAAGCTATTAGAAGTAATTCATATTGACCCAACTGTGAAAAACTCGGCGTCTCGGTGGGATTCGAACCCACGACAGCAAGGGGAAGGCTTTAGTACAGCCAACGTTCTAACCACTTTAGCTATGAGGCCCCGCCGGACGACGCGAGTTTAAACACATTTGGCTTAAGTTACCCGCCCAACCTACTGCAACGTTTGGAATCCACCTAATCTGATACAGTAAATTGGCTGCCCAGGCAGGATTTCCTAAGTAACTCACCTAGAATACACCAGATGGCTACGAGGCTTACGTAATTCATAGAGGAATTATTAAAAATCTGCCAAAATACGCATGAACTACGTGAGCCTGGTAGTCATCTGGTGGATTCTAGGTGAATTACTTAGGAAATCCTGTATCAGATTTGGTGGATTCCAGACGTTGCAGTAGGTTGGGCGGGTAACTTAACCCAAATGTGTTTAAACTCGCGTCGTCCGGCGGGGCCTCATAGCTAAAGTGGTTAGAGCGTTGGCTGTACCAAAGCCTTCCCCTTTCTGTGTGGGTTCGACTCCTACCGAGGCGCCGAGTTTTTCACAGTTGGGCCAATATGAATTATTCAAAATCTGCCAAAACATCTATGTATTGTAAATAAGTTAGTTTTTTGGCTGTTAACGCGGACTTCCCATTGATATGATAGAGGAGTCACAAACCGGATCTAGTGATTAGTTCCTAGCTGTAATAAATCGAACGCGCTAAGCGTCGCGACTAGAAGGTTGCAAACTAACGTATAATGCGATACTTCCCAAGACTGAGCGCCTGGCTAAAATGACTCCTGAGACCCTTTTGTTGAAATCTGGATCATAAGCGTGCAGGGATTTGCGCGTGCATTGTGTATATTAATTTTGGTCTAGGAATATTAGTCACTGGGCCCACATTTAGTCTTGCCGAATGTTCATTGCCATCAGGACACGGTGGGTGCAAAACCGAATTAAGTTAGATACTGCGGAAGTCTAGAGGTAGATCGACAGGTTTTCAGCATATCGCCGAGCTAGGTATGGCAGAGACAAACTAACTTAAACAGGGTGTACTGAAGACTAGGCAAGCAAGAGAGAAATTAGTATCAAAACTGTGAATGTTAACCTGGCGTTCCAGGGCCTCCAACTGGCTGTATGATTTGCCCTTTAGAGTGGCCGCCACGGACTGCAACACCGACTGACTGATATTCATCATTTGGTTCCTATTTGCTGCGCTGGTTTCACCGCCACCACCACGTCCGTT